ATATATAGATATATAGATATAGATATAGATATAGATATAGATATAGATATAGATATATATCTCAAGCTTGATGGGCTAGAAATATACCACCAGAAGTGTGAGGTTCTCTTGCTCCACTTGGACAAAATCCACTCTATCTCTTAGGATCTCACAAAGAACATGGAATATTATTCTACATCCATTGATCTTTGCACTGGATATTGAGGTCAGCTTAACCAGCCAACAAATATTTATGGAACATCCAACATGATCCCTTTTTTGGTATCAAAAAAGACAAACACCCTACTTTTAAAATGTTTTTTATTTTGGTGGGAGGTAACCAAAAAACAAGTAAGCAATACAAATATTTCATTTGAGATACTCATAAGTACTAGGAAGATAAAAGAGAATAAAGTGACAGATCATGATTGGAATGGGAATAATGAGAGGGGTTGCTTCTAGCTGGGGCTGGTTGTTTAAAAAGTGATCTTTGAAGGCCAGAATGAAGAGCAGGGCAAAGGCATAGGTCTGTGGTAAGGACTTTCCAAAGGAAGGAAGTGGCAGGGATGAGTTGAGCTGTGAACACAGAGAAAGCTAGAAAAATAGAATTTTTAAAAAATCTAAAAAATGCCAGAGACCAGATACTGTGTTTACAGCACAGTAAGGATTAGGATTTTTTGGTGTGATGGAAAGCCACTAACAAGGTTCTAAAGGAATGAGGCAGCCTTGTGTCCAGCTATGTAAAGAATGACCAGAAGGGGCCAGGATGGTCAGGCCGGTGATGCTGGTGGGGATGAGACTGCAGGCACAGCCGGTTAAGGAGTCTGTCTCACTCTCTGTCAGCCTCACCAGAGTTGCTCTCTTCTAGTCTCTTCACTTGGGTTGTCAGTTTCTTCTCACCCCAGAGTTTGGTTCACTCCTTGACTGGATTTCCTAATCTAGTCTGTTTAGCAATAGAAAAGAAACTAAAAACAAGAGAGGACAAGTTCTAGAACATTTCATTTCAGGTGCCATTTTAGTAAAAAGCTGCTGGAATTCCAGTCAAAGAGTGAGTCAGGCAGCAACCCTGGCTGTTTCCTTTCCCTCTGAGGCCCTGGTTATGAAACCACAGTTCTTGCTTCGATCCACCCATCACTTTTCCATATAGCCTGAGGCTCCATTTTCAGGGATTTCTAGGTACATAGTTCTGTGGATTCTTTTCTTTTCCTTCCGGGCTTAACAACAATTCCTCCTAGACACAGACCCAGGAAGGACCCAAGGACCCCAGAGGGGGTTTTTTTCAGCTGCCTGACTACCTGCCTGTCTGCGATCACCGGCGGCCTGCGCGTGAGCTCCCGGCCTGCGCGTGAGCTCCCGGCCTGCGCGACAACAGACCCAGGAAGGACCCAAGGACCCCAGAGGGGGTTTTTTTCAGCTGCCTGACTACCTGCCTGTCTGCGATCACCGGCGGCCTGCGCGTGAGC